TTGTTATTGTTATTGTTATTGTTATTGTTGTTGTATTATTGTTATTTATAATTTGTACAATTAACCTCCTTGTGGTTTGACCCCGTCTTGCCGGGTTATTTATTACTTCGACACTCCTGCACTTGGGAGAAGACATCAATGTTTTAGTCGTGTCAAGTTTTTGGTGCCGTTGCCGGGGAGGTAAGTTCTTGTATAAATTATAGTAGTTATTTTATTTTCTTTTTTTACTTTTTTTGTATATAACTTTGTTTCTTTTCTCTTGTTTTTTCTTCTTTTGTTTTCTTTTTCCTTTTATTCTATTCCTACACGTGCATGAGAGTGTGGTCATGTACATCAAGTGGTAGACTTTGTAGGGTATTCTCATCATTTTCAAAAAATATAGCCGAAGAAGATAATCAATCACTTCTTAATGAGAATAATGAGAATAACCGTGCTAGAACACTTAGAGATCACATGAATCCCACAAGAACAAGTGCACCATCATGCATAGTTTTTCCGCCCGATGCATCTCATTTTAATTTTAAACCAGGTAATATTCAACTTTTACCTTCTTTTCATGGTTTAGAATTGGAAAATCCATACTTGCATTTAAGGGAATTTGAAGAGGTCTGCATTATTATTATTATTATTATTGCTGTTATTACTATTATTATTGTTGTTGTTGTTATTATTGTTGTTGTTGTATTATTGTTATTTATAATTTGTACAATTAACCTCCCTATGGTTCGACCCCGTCTTGCCAGGTTATTTATTACTTCGACACTCCTGCACTTGGGAGAAGACATCAATCTTTTAGTCGTGTCAAAAGACATAAAGAATCTGGTCTTTTTTAATACATTCATCATTAACTTATACAAATTTTAAACCATAATACTTCTTTGCTGGCACACAACTCCCGTGGCCTTTCTTAAATCCATAAGTATACCATATAATTTTTCATTCTATGTACATTTCATAACCAAGTTGTTTTTTTTTTTTTCCAACTTAACCATCATTCATAATTCAACTTATATTGGACTTTCATTTCCTTAAAAAAAAAAACACAAAGAATTCACTCATTTCTTAACACATTCATCATTAATTTATACAAATTTTAAACCATTTTGACATTCATAAATCCCAATTTTCATCCTTACTCCTATTTTGTTAAAACATGCATAATAAAAAAGGATGTAAATTCTCTTCAATTTATCTCATATAGAACACATTATGTATTCAATCTCCTCATACGTATACTAATATATCATCATTATAGTTGAATAAATTCAAATTCATCATATGCAATTTGATCCCTTGTTAGCTTACAATTAAGCCTTTAAAGACACCATAGTTTTTTTTTCATTATTTCTTCTGAATTTAGCACCCTTCACAATATAATCTAACATAACTGACTCAATCTACAATAAATTTGCATATCTTCCAAATTCCTACTATAAAACCTAACACAAAATTCATGAATTCAACCTCAATTGCTTTTCTTTTTCATATAAGCTTGCCAGGTTAGGTTTAAAACTCCTTATTAAGTAATATTATTAACTTAGAGTTCCAACCAATAAAAAATTTCCGCATCCCTCCCCTTTTTCCTTTTATTTATTCACTTTCTTTCTCTAACTCAATATTCCCTTTCTTTGGTTTTTCTTAATTTCTAGTGTTGATATTTTCTCTCTCAAAACACCCTCTTTTTACTCCTATTTGTCACTTCTTTAACTCTTCAATAACAAAAGGAAAAAATAAGAAGAAAAAACATTCTTTCCTATTTTTTTGGCTATACCATTAGCTTTAAGAGAAATAATAGCCAAAACGGTCTGGCTATGTCAAGAAATGATGCAACCATTTTATTAAATTGAGCTAACTGTTCGTGGTTTTGAAAAAATACATATATTCAAATGTAAATCTTCTTTTATCTTATTAACTCCTTTTTTTATTATATCATAATTTCTATCACCTAGAATCGTTCCATAAATTTATACCGAAGCTCCCTTAACCTCTTCATCTTTTATTTGTATATGTTTTAACATGTTATAATAATCATTTACTCCATTTTTTTAATTATTATATTTCAGAAAAAATTAACTGAGAGTTTACAAAAACATTTTATAGTTACATACCATGAAGTCATATTTGTTGCGGCCATTGATTAAGATGGTGAATATGCTCTCGTACCCTTTGTTCATCTCCATGTTTTCATCTTTTAGCGGGTTCTTTCATTTCATGGTATCTTATCTTTTAATTTCTCTCGAATCATTGTTGATAATAAATGAAAAAACTTTAGGGTAATAAGTTATAATTGCTAGATACTTAAAAATACAAATACAAATAAAAAATAACAAGAATGCTCTATTATTAAAAATTAATAATATGAATATCATACATTCTTATGGCCGAGTATAAATTGCTAATATAGAAATTATTATATATTTAATTGTAATCTTTTTACACAAATACAAAACGTACTATAAAAAAGTTACTCGTGATTTAAATTCATTTCTTGAAAAAGCTCAATTGAATATCTTAAAAATATTTCGAAATGAAGGAGTGCATTTGACGAGTTATGTGTGTGTTATGAAGACCATAAATAGAAAAGGAAAGAAAAATTGAAGCTCGAACCAGGAATACTAAAAAGTCCAGGGGCAGTATATAAAATAAAGCCATTCAAAAATACCACAGTTATTTCCCCTCTCTCTCGCGGAATCGAAACACATAAATAAATCAGAATTAACAAAACTGATTTCAAGTCCGACAGTTCACTTTAAATTACTTGTGACTTAATTAATTCTATAGATTTAAAGACCATTTTCAGTGGATTTGAAATTTATAAAAATTAAACTAATAAATTAATTTTAGAGAGTAGAACTGACGAATTACACGGATTCACTTCACTACTCCTACGAGACGGTCAAGAGAGAAGAAATCGAAACACCAATCTCTATCTCTCTCCTCTCTGCTAAAATCTCGCGCTGTGCCTGTGACTTCATAACTCTAGAGCTAATTTTTTTCTCTTACATCCTGTCGAATCTCCGGTCACGTTCCACCGGAATGTCAGATTCTGGCAACCAGGTTTCTATCTTTGTCTCTCTTAAAAAGTACTTCTTCCTTTTTGTACCGTGTCAGCTGTAGCTCTTTTAGAGCACGCAATCACTCTTTCCTTTTTCTTTTTTTTTTCCTGTTTTATAGCCCTCAACTATTTGCTCTCCTCCTTCAATCTCTCCTCTTTTAACTCCTTTTGACTCTTTCCCCTTTGAATTGTTTCCTTTAAAAGAAAAGGGAAGCTTTTTTGGAAGCTGATTATCTTTAAAATTAAAATTTTTCTCTGGGTCTGTATTTTTGGATAAAAACCTGGACTGAACTGGTTTTAGTTTATTGTTGGTGTGATAATTGACCAAACATGAGAAGAGGGAATATTGTTTGCAGTGAAAGAGAGATTTGTCTTGTGTCTCAAGTCAAGGTAGCTTCTTTGTTTTGATTTCTTTTTACCTTCTTAACAAACGGTTTCTTTTTTTCTTCACTTAGGTTCCTGTGCCCAATTCCTTTGCTTTCACTCCATAAACAGAGATAAAAGGGGGGGATAGTTGCATAAAATCTTGATAAAACTGGGTGTCCTTTGGTTCTGATTGATTTTTGTTGCAGAGGGTTTTGCCTGATTTGAAGCAGCCAGCTACTTTCTTCATGTCTTTCCTACGTATTCATTGACAGGAATAGGATTTCGTCCTTTTTAGAAACCACCCGTTTTTTGTTTTCTATTTTTTGCTGCAATCATTTTTTACATCTCCGAACAGATATCTTGGTCTGGAGTTGGGGTTTCTGTTTCTTGTAAGGTCATAAACTGACAATTGAGATTTATTATAGGTGTTGAGATAGGATTCAGAACAGAGAGGCTCAAGTTTCCAGGATGCTTGGGCAGGATGGTCAATCTTTTTTATTTGAGCAAAGGGGTCGCTGGAAACAGGCTGCTCAAATCTGTTTAGTTAAACTCAACGTTTTCATGACAAGTAGCTGTTGCGAAGCTTTAATAGGTGTTGATTTTTAAGTTTTTGAACTAGTTCGCAATTTATTATGAGCGGCGATGAGCAATATAAAGGAGTCATCTACCATTATGTCTTGCATCGCATTCCATCTTTTCCAGCCGTTTTAGGATTTTAATTTTGCTTATTGTGGACGGTTTAACTCGATTCTTAGCTCTTGGACACGCGGTGGGAACAATTAGAATTTATCTTGTTTACAGGTGATGGTTAGGAACAATTACATTTCTGGCCTGACTGCATATAAAATGACATGTTCTATGCAGAAGCGCTCCATTCTAAACCGTCCTGTTTAGGATTCATGCTGGTTGTTTATATTTTCATATCGATGGTTGTGCATCATAAATTATATATCAAGCCAGCAGTTGTTGACATGGAGATGGTGGTTTGGCAGGATCTTCAATCTCAAGTAGTCGATCAGATGTGGCAAGGATGTTGAGTGCACTCTTTGGAGGTAAGACTGAGGATAAAATGTTAAAATATCGAGAATTTTTTATTTGTAATACTGACCATAGTCCAGTGAAGAGAGAGGTTTTTCTTAAGAACTTGTCTACATTTCTAACACTTGCATTATAATATACTACAATATAGCGTCCTGATCTGCTGATTGTATCTGAGTTGAGGAGAAGCTCCTCAAATAAGAGAGCGAATGTAACACTAGTAAAGACACTAATTGTGCCCCAGAAGGACACACCCCCCACCCCCCCGATACCCTTCCTCATCAGCAGCCTATCGCAGCTACAAGAAGAAGCCACTCTAGAGGTTATTCAAGGTGTTCTTTAAGTCACTCAGGGATACCTGTGGAGTCTTGGGATGAAGATCATAGTTTTTTGGACAAGCAGATGCCTTGTGAAGGCCACCCATGCCAGGAGGAAAGTGAATACAAAGATGTCTATGGAATCTGGCAGCAATCCAAAAGGACAATTCTGAGAGATAGCTCACCTCGGAAAGGAAATCACAATGGAAGCAAAATGATGGCTCATGTTCGCCTGAAGTTTATGGAGGCAAAACATCTGTCAACAGATGAAAAAGGCTGCCAGTCCAAAGAATGCCAAGATGCACTGGAAGTTTCAAGTTCCAATAAAGATTTATTCCTCAAGTTTCTGCAGGAACCAAATTCATTGTTCGCTCAACATCTGCATGATCTGCAATGTATGCCTCCATCTCCCGAGACAAGGCGCATCACTGTTCTGAGGCCTTTGAAGGAAAGATATGCAGGATCAGGGAAGAAGAGTGATAAACTGACAAAGAAACAGTCCCATACTGGTCAAGCTATTGGATGGGGAAAAAGTAATCTTGGATATTCTTCTGCCTTTTCCAATCAGAAGATTGATGAATATGTTGCTCAACCCACTCAAATAGTAGTATTGAAGCCTAGCCAAAGGAAGATCCATGATGTTAAGGCTTTGGTTTCACCATCACCATCACCACCAAGAATGTTACATTGTGAAGATTTTTATGATGAACCTGAAGATTTTGAGGGTCAAGAATCAAGAGAGGTGGCAAAGAAAATCACTCGGAATATGTGTGAAAACCTGATGGGCCACCAGAGAAATGAAACTCGTCTTTCTTCTGTGTATTCCAATGGCTATATTGGTGATGGTAGTTCAGTTAACAAATCAGAAAATGACTGTGCAGTGGGGAATCTCAGTGATACAGAAATCTTGTCACTGACATCTAGGCATTTATGTGATTACACCAGTAGGTTTGATAGCCCCTATTCCTCTTCCTCCTTCAGCTGTGCATCTTGTTCTCCAGAGTCATCTGTTTGCAGAGAAGCAAAGAAGCAACTTTCTGAAAGATGGACCATGATGGCATTGAATGGGAGAGCTCAAGAGCAAAAAACTGCCCAGAGAATCTCCAGCACTTTGGGACAGATGCTTGCAGTTTCAGATGCAAAAAAAATTGTGAGATCTAAGGAAGAGGTTAGTAATAAGGAACAAGAACCAAGAGGATCAATCTCTTGCATCCCTAGTCATTTAAATAAGGAAGACAGCACACCTGATTCTCCTAGAAGTCTTCTAAGGTCCAAATCAGTGCCTGTCTCGTCCATGGTTTATGATGCCAGGCTTAATGTTGAAGTTTCACACCCTGATGCTGGCAAAACTGAAGTTTTGAAGGAGCTGACAGAGGCAAAGATCATGAAATCTTCTCTGAAGGGGAAAGTTTCTAGTTTATTTTTCTCGAGGAACAAGAAACCAAGTAAAGATAAATATGTTGCATGTCAATCTAAAGATGAATCTCAGTCTGCCATCCTAGGGTCACCAGTTCCTCTTACTGAAAAAGTTGGTGATGATGCAGCTCAATGTTCTAATAACTGTGGCTTTGAAAAGCGTTTATCTCCTGTTTTACATGGATCAGCAAGCATAGCTTATCGAGATCTTATCAGCATGAGAACAAATCAAGGCATGGTTTCCCATCAGGTAGCTCTATCTTCTTTCTTTATGATTGCCCTGTTTTGTTCTTTCCTAGTCATACATGCTGCTATTGTTATTATTGATCAAGGGTATGTCTGCAATTAATAATGTATGGAAACATGATTGAGAGACACGAACACTATATTTCTTATTGAACAGAGTGAAATCCCAGCCTGTACTCCCTACCTCCTATAGTTTGTCAATTAATTAAAGTTGGGTTGGACTGTATGAGCTAAGTCATCCTGTGGGCTAGGAAAATGAGTTTGGGTTGGTTAATTCATTAATTTTTATGTGTGAACAAAACAGTACCAGTCTGTGCTTTGGCCATGCAGCTTGAAACACATCTAGATTTCTTGCTTATTGATTCTATTTCAAGTAATGGTAGCAATGTCGTACATTTGTTCTGGATTTATACTCCATAATTGTCTTCTTCCAGCTGAATATCATTTATTTATTTCTAATTGTCTGTTCAACTTGAACTTCCCATGAAACGACCTCATAATCTTGTAAAAGCTTTTTGCAGGGAGGGGTATCGGTAACAAAGCACTTGGTGCCTGTGACTATGAATGAGAATCAGGATCAGCCAAGACGTATCTCAGTTTTAGAACCCCCATTCGAAAAGGATGAAAACACAATTCTGGAGGCTTCTGGCATTATCAAGCCAGGTTATACAGGTAAATATCTCCTATTTTGGGACTTTCCGAGAAATTTCTTATGCATTTACCTAGTTCCTAGCCAGATCATATGAATTCTCTTTTTAATGCAGGAATAGAGGTGCCTCTCAAGTCTAATTTGATTGATAAATCGCCGCCAATAGAATCAGTGGCTTGAACCCTATCACAGGATGATTCCCGTGCAGAGACAGCTAGTCCTTATCCATTAAAGTCCTCTCCCTCTCCAGTCCCCTCGGGTGCTGAGGAAGATGAAAAGGACTGGTTTTTCTTGGTCCAAACTCTACTGACAACAGCTGGCCTTGATTCCGACCTGCAATTAGATTCATTTTTTGCCGGGGGGCATTCGCCCGGAAGCCCATTAGACTCATCATTGAGAGACAAATATGCTAACCTAAATGACAAGGAGCTTTTGCTCGAGGCAAAGCCACGATCAAATGGGAAACTTGTATTTGACTCTGTGAATGCAGCGCTAGTTGAAATCACAGGTCATGGATCAGGCAGGAGCACGAAGGCGGTGACTTGCAGTGGGGTTCAAAACTGGTTGGTAGAGGGTGCACAACCCCGGATAATTGACTACGTGTGGGCTCAGTTGAAGTCATGGTTTTGTAGTGATATGAGACGTACATTTGGGGACGGTGGGGACAGCAACAGCCTGGTGGTGGAGATGGTGGTAGGGAAAGGGTGGGTAGATAAGATGAGAGTGGAATTAGATAGCTTAGGGAACGAAATAGAAGGAAAGTTGCTGGATGAGCTTGTTGAGGAGGCTGTCCTTGATTTAACAGGTAGGGTGTGATGAGGCCTCTCTTTGACCTTCATTTCCTTTCCCTATTTGTTATAACTCTTCATTTCGCCTATTTATGCAATTGAATTCCAGCAATGCTGATCCTGCCTGCCTGCCCTTCTTTGCTTAACACTTGCAACACCTGCCTGAATTGGTAAATATTTTCTGTGTATTTTCCCTTGTTGATGATATCTCATGGATAAATAAATCAGCTGGTCTGGCAGACAAACGTTTCAAATCTACCTGCATCATCCATTGGTTTGATCACCAAAGGGCAAAGATGGGCCTCTATTGCCTTGTTCGTGATTGTTGGAGGTCCTACTATTCCTACGACTCAACTGTATTGTTGGTAAGGTTTCAAGAGAAGGTGTCGGTATTAAGATGTGTTTACGATTAATAATATATATATATATATGAATGACATACCGAAAACCGGTTATTAATGTTAATTAAATAGCAAAGTGAAATGCTAGTCTTTCTAATAAAAACAAAAATGGTTTTTTTTTTATTTTGTTTTAGAGGTTAATTCTAGTTGATAATAACAAAGGATTTTTATTTTTATATATTTATTATGTAAATATAATTTATTTATATAAAAGGAAAAAAAAATTAAAGATAAATTACAACAATCTCTTAAGTATTATGAAATTAAAAATAAAAATTAATTACTATTCTTTTTTTTTATTAAATGAAGTAAACAATTTAAGAAATAAGATAAGGTATTAATTAGAATTTAAGAAAATAATTTAAAGTAAAAAAAAAAACGAGGGAGAGGTTATTAATTAAAGTTACCAAAAAATTGAAAGTAAAAAAATAAAAATCAATTGTCTGCTAAACCAAGTTTGCATTCGTGGTCAAGCATAAAAAAGCTCATATGCACCTTGGCTTCGAACCCTCGACCTTTATGCTAGTGTAAGATTGAAGACCTATCACTTGAACTATTTTTTAATCACTTTAATGATCGGAAAATAGTTGTTCGAGTTTCTGAACTTTAAAAACAACTTAGTCATGAGACCTATTTCCAATTTTAAAACACTCTTTAAGCTCTCATCTCAAACACTTTTAAAATGATTAACTATTTCTTGATTGAGGTCATTAAATCTCATTCATTTTTTTTTTTAAGTTTATTATCTAAAATCTCTTATAAAGGTTATTATCTCTCATTCATTTTTTTTTTTTAAGTTTATTATCTAAAATCTCTTATAAGACTTTATATCATAAACATTATAAAAATAAGGCAACTATCATAATATATTTTTAGGTTATTCCATAATTTTTATCTTTTTCTTTTCAAAATAAAAAAATAAAAAAAAAAAATAATAGCAAGGAGACAGTGACATGGAAAAAGTTGGCTGAAGATGGATTTTGAATGTAGAGAAATCAAGTTGCAATTTTTATGGACTTAGGAGCCTAATTGTATGATATTATATATAAAACTAAAGAGACAATATAAATTCAAGTAATTAAATCATTATTGTACGAATTTGTATAAAACTTAATCTAAAAATATAATTAGATTTTCAATAGATCAAATTAAAGTTTAATTATGTTTAAAAATTAATTTGGATCCAATTAAAGGATTTAATTAGGTCCAAGAATGTAATTATACTTTAAATAGGTCAAGTTAATTTTATTAGGGGTTTAATTAGTGAAAAGTTAAGTTTTGGAGCCCAATTTGATCTTAATTGAAAATATTACAATTTTAAGAAACCAAACTTAATTTTTACAAAATCATTTGGTCCAAATCATAGGTAAGATCACAAGAAAAAAAAATTGGTGTCAATTAGAGGTTAAATAGAAGAAATTCAAAGTCAAGAACCATTTTGAAAAAGACACTGAACTCTTGGGACCTAATTGATTGGAATCAAGGATAAAATTAAAAAAAAATCAAAAGTTTAATACTTAGTTGAGAGTTGATTCGTATAAATCCAAAACCAAGAAAATTAAAAGTTTAATGCTCAGTTAAGGGTTGATTCATATAAATCCAAATCCAAGGATTAGAATGAAAAAGACGCTGAAATTCAGGGCTGAAATTAAAGTTTTTCAAGAATAAAATTGCATAAAATTAAAAGTTCAGGATTAATTTAAGATGCAATTAAAAAAAATTTAAAGACGGAGGACCAAAATGAACTTTGGCCAAATCCCTGAATTAAAATCCTAAAAATCAAAACAATGTCATTTTGACCAAACAATAAATAAAATAAAGGACAAATCAGACGACCTGTTGACTGGTCAATTATTCATCCTCTTCCTTTTCACTTGAAAAGACCGCTCAAAAAGTTATTTTTCAGAGGTCTTTAATGTTTTATCTATCAATCAAATTTGATAAAACTTCCATGAAAATGATAGCCTAACACTTGACCATAGCATGATATGGTTCTTTTCGGGTGTCAACAATCGTGATGTCGGCCCAAAAAAAATATATTTATAGAAATATAATAATGTTATTTGTAATCAACTAATTAGCTACAAAACATATTAAAATAATAGGTAATCTAACCAACCAGTCACATGCGAAAAATCGTAAATTTGTATTGTAGAGTTGATTATATGTGGAATTGTTCAAACAAGTTCTGGTAATAATTAAGAAATCATGACAGGAAAAAACTCAATAATCAATACACGGAGTTAGCAACAAATAGGATTATATTCTCCAGTTAAAGAGAAAGTAAAGAATATCCATATCACAATATATGCCATACTAGAAGACCAGAAAAGCTTTGCTTTAAGTTATGTCAATACAATGACATAGGTTCAGGGAAGAAAATCAGAATCCAGAAATGCAAATCAAAAGCTTACACAGGGATCGATACTATCACTACAAATTTATTGCTCCAAGTGATAAGCTCCCTCGCAAGTTGTCGGCAGAGAGACTTTCAGAAATGTATGCAGTATTATGTGAAATGAAAATCCATTCAAAGGTACTGTCCAGCCCTTTGGGAAGAAAAAACACTTGTAGAATCCAAAGAACAAATTAGTTATAGTGCTGAGTTGTGACACGGGATTTACTGACACGGACAAAAAAAAGTATTAATTAAATTTTGAGTAGAAAAATGTCTATACTATGATTTCCCAGCACATAACCTAAGCTAACCATTGCGTTTTCTAGACTAAGGTAATTATATTCATCTCCAGTTCCTAAAGTTCGCTTTCTTTTCTTTCAAAAGAACAACAATCATTTACTCTCGTGTTACCATAAAGAAATGCACAGGAAGTCATAGCGATGAACTTCTTCACACTACACAGTTCAAAATATTTTGAGAAGATAAATAGGTCAACAGCATCGAGAGGGAAAAAAAGGTTTAGGCCAAATTTGTTTGGACACAGAGAGGGAGGAGAACAATTAATATTAGTTGTGAAGGATTGAATATAAATATTGCTTCTAGGCAGTACAAATGATAAAATTTTGCAATTGATTGACAACTGAAAAATGTATGAACCATTAGTATTGATATTTACGAGCAATAACTGATCTCCTGCTCTACTTCATTATTTTTTTGAAGGGGTAATCAAATATTTTTTTATGGAGACAATTGACAATAGGGCATGAAATTTGCAATTAGCATGGAGATAATGTACTCTACAGAAAATAGTAATCAGCAATGACCCGAAGGAGGGTCAAGGTTATGAAAAAAGGATGAATTATATAGTAATAAAAAATAAAATGTAATTTCTTCAATTCAAAACAAACTAAGACAACTTTAGCAAAGACTGGAGGACCTATAACAATCAAATAAGAAACTAACCTGCAGTTGCTGGAAAACTAAGACTATCTAAAGAACTCTTCCATCCATGCCATCAAGAAGACCTGACCACATTCCCTTTGCTGGTGGTAGTTGGGCGACAAAAGCATTCCAAGGGGGATAACCAACACCACTTCCACGGACACGGCCATCCATGCGCAGAGACAAATACCTGTAGAACATAATGTACTCGGAAAAGTTAGGAATATTCCTAACGCAAGCTTTATATCAACTTCTACATATAAATAAAGGAAAAACATCATGTTAAGGATAACACCCATATAAAAAGATTTTATGTTGAGAAGATGACAATATTTCACTATAATTGGAACCGTGGACTCTCAACTCTAATCCCAAAGTACGCCCTATCCTCATTTCGCACAACTTTTGTTTTCCCACAAACACACACATAGTACGTTACAAGTTGGAAAAAACAATCCTAAACCCAATATGATGAGCTTATACAGTTAGGATTTGTTAAGGTGTAATTGATGCCGCATCTTTAACACTAGAGAACTGATTTCTTAAAGCATGCTTCATATTCTCACAACCATGTGAAATAGTGAAATGTAAAATTACAGAATTGATTTGCAAGAATTAATCCTTGCATTTTCCTGCACAAGAAAAAGGCAAGTAAATGGAAGAATACATACACAGGAGATTCAGGGGAGACGCCAGCCAGCTTCTTCTGTTCATCTAACCAGCTGTAATTTGTTGTGTGTGGAATGAGAATGAGTGAGCACAAAATTCGAGAAGAAACAAACATTTTTCTGACACGATTTCTTACTTGGACCATTCAGAAACGTAGATAGGGGCCAACTGCCAGAGTCTCTTCCTCTTGGTGGTAAGCTCCTTCATCTCCTCACCTTCGTCAAACTCAAAACTAGGTAAATTCCCATTTGAAGCAAATGGAACCACAAGCACCCCTCTATCCAAAAGGCTCTGTGTGAAAGGCTCACTAAGTTTATAAGATTCTAAAATGAAAGGTGCAGGGCCAGCACAGATTACAAGTCGAGCAACACCCCTCAAAGAGCTCACAGAAATGATCTTCTTTTCATCCACACGGAGCTTAAGATTTGAAAGGTTTTCCTCTCTTGACAGCCTAGCCAGTTGTACATTTTTAGCTTTGTTCTCCCTGTAATATAGGAATGCGAAGATAGCTGCTGCTCCAATGTCTATGCCCAGACCTTTCAGTATCTCCGGTACTTCAGCTGCTCTCGATGGATTTGCTAGAGCAGCAATCAGTCGTGTGGTTGCTATTAATCCTCCCAAAGCACCACTTGCAATAAAAGCAAGGTAGAAAAACATCCGGACAGACCGAAATGGAGATAGAACTTCACTCCTTATCTTGGCTGTAGAACTGAAGAACAAAGGAAATAGTGATTACAAGGAACCCTCAATTGTAAAAAAAAAAAAGACACTATCTTGGCTGTAGAACTGAAGAACAAAGGAAATAGTGATTACAAGGAACCCTCAATTGTAAAAAAAAAAAAAAGACTCTGACAGCTGAAGCATTGAATAGGAAAAAAAAGTATGAGAGGAACTGAGAATATTCTTTAACAAACTTAATTCCATGGACAAACGCGTAAAAGTCAAGCACATTGCAATACATTCAGCTGTCTGTCTTCCTATGCAGATCAACCAATCAATATTT